AAACGATAGCCGAAGGATGCTTCCCAATCTGAAGCATGCACTGCATACTAACGGCCAATGTTGCTCGATGAACATGGCAGTTTTGTCCCTGCAGCAACTCAATGAAGTTCGGGCACGCCAGTAAGCATCCTTCTGCGATCGAAGCCATTGCCAACCTTGTTTGAACAACCCTATATCCTCCATCACCAAAACCTTCTCATAGACCTAGAAACTATCAAGGCACCGCCTATTACTGGTAATAAAACCTCATCTGAGAGCGATGCTATGGATGCCGATCACCATGAATCCGACAAACCATATAGCTCAGCGATTGTGACGCTAAATCATCAATGCTACCCATAAAAGGAAAAAAAAATTAAAACTGAGGAGGGGAGGAGAACCCTGATCTGCCCAAGTTCAGCTTGTAAACTGGGGAAAATTAATAAATTAACCAGCACTGCTAGCCAATCACGGGTTTCTCCAGAAGAAGAGCTCCAAATACATAAAGAAGTGGGATCAAAACAGACTAGTATTCAGTCCATGAAAGAACTAAATACAATCACGTTTCATTCAAAGGCAAATTGCTTCGCAAATAAGCTTCCAAAAAGCAGCTACTGTTCACAAAAGAGCGAAACACAAAAGCAATAAATAATCCCCCTTTTTGACAACAATGTACCCCTCTTTTACAAACCACAGAAACAAACTCTCAGGCCAGCACCAACCAAAAGAACACAACCCCACACTGAAACAGTTCCAACATGCCCAGCACTGGAATAGGAAGGGAAACCAGACCCCATAAAAGGAAAGAACTTGAAGACGAGCCAGTAACCATGGAAACCCTAAACATCCAATGGCAGAGAGAGAGCGCGAAACTTCAAGCACCGCCAGTCGATATGGATCGTCGTCAGATAGAATGGGAAAGAAACTTTAACGGATTCCTAAAGGGTAATGCGGAGAATCTTTCCTTGGGCTGGGTGTAGAAACCAGAAGCATTGGCTCTCTCTAGTTCAGGGATTGCTCGTGAAAAAGAGAGAGTTTCAAAAAGTTTTATAAAGGGGATGAAGAGTAGAGTGAAGACTTTCCCTACAGGGAGAGGAGTGAGGGAAGAGAGAGATAGATAGAGAATGAGAGAGAGGAGCGATTTGACATCATTCAATATAATTTTTTTTTCCTTTTGCTTTGTGGATTAGGGCTGGAAGCTGTCTAACAATGATGGTGTGGGTCCCAATCCTAAATCCTCCCATTGAAATTTGTTGTTTGCAATTCGTTTGCTGAACTTAAACCAGGTTACGTGGCTTTGTTGCTTCCATGGGACACACTGGCGCTAATGCTTGAAACTAAACAAATACTCGATCGCTCTTATTTATAAATTTTAAATTTAAAAATAAATATAATTTATTTTGTAAGTTTTAATTTTGAGTTTCTCTTGCTGGTTGAAAAAAAAAATTTTAATTTATCTTAACATTTAATGTACTCTTTTTAATTGTATCCTTAATTATTGATTTTTTTTTCTTTTGTCATGCTTTCTCTCATCACATTTCCATACATGATCTCTATCATCATTTTTCTTATTTGCTATAAGAGCATATTTGAAAGTAATAATATATTTTTAACATATTTATTACTTTTAACTAATTATTCGTTATCCACAAATTAGATATTTGAAACTTATAATAAAAACTAAACGGAGTATTATAAAATGTAAATTAAAATATTTCTGATTTTTCTTACAAAAAAGGGTACCTTTAAAAATAAAAGGTGAAAAATAAAATACATAGTCTAAATGAAGGTGAATAAAATTAAAAACTAAACTATTTCTATGATTTAAGTACTGGATTGTATTGAATTTTATTTAATAATTTTCATTAAATATATGTTACTATTATGAGTATATTAATATATATTTTACATAATATATTAATATTTAATAAATACATTGATAATTTTCTGGTTCAGATTGAATCATTATTATATATTGTCCGTATGTTATCCTTTACAGTTATCAATTAGATAGAGTAATACAGTCCTTATTTACCTAAAAAAGAGACAAATACAGTGATTACTTTGGGAAAATCACTATGACTGTTCCCTTTTAATCTAGTCTAGTCTTATGAAATTAACTATACCAGCAAATTTGTGCCACAGTATGCCTTCCTTATTAAGCTTTTGAGTATGAATTTGTAGGTAGAACTTGAGGCAAATATCATAAGTACCTTACATTAATCACCAAAAATTTATTACTATTATAATATGACGTGGGTGTTTGTTATTTCATCTATTTTTCATACCTTTATTATTCCATAATACCTCCTATTTTCTTCAAATTTATAGATCTGGATTAAATCAAAGTTGTAAACAAATGCTTATAAATACAGGGTATCTCTATTATATTCTACATATCAAAACGTAATAAAAGATTTTTTTTTCCTTTCTTACTCTCTTTTTTTCCAACTTTCCCTCTTATGTTAGTATTCTTTTTTGTTAATTTATAGTTTAAATTATTTATAACATTTTGTCAGTTCGTGTTTCTGCTAATTTTTTCATGATTGTGATTTAATTTTAAAAGGAGATAATTTCATACTATATAATTTAATTATTTATATTTTATATATAGGATGAGAGGGACTATCATTATTCACAATAATTTCATAGGAAGATAAATGCACATGACCGAATACCTGTTCTTTATAAAAGGATGACACCAGAATTGAAGACCACTAGCTGTAGCATGCAAGTTGCAAATAAACACTCCCTCTAGCCATGAAAGGATTTATTCCAATAGTGATTGTCAGTATTCCCTTATAACTCATCGTCTCAACAAGAGATCAAAGAATATCTACAATTCGCTAATAATAGTTAATCTAATTAATAAAGAGTCAGCTCATAACCCATAAGATTATGAGCCAAGATCCTGCTACTAATACGAAGATCCTGTTAGTAGGTAATTTGTAAATACTACAATAAGTGTTCTCTAACTCAACTAAATTTTTTTCTTTAAAAAGAATCTCTGCAATTCATTTGATTACACAAGGCTCAGTCTTATCATCACCAAAAGATCTCAATGTCTATTGTTGGATTATGCTCTTTTTTAATTAAAAGAGTATTGTGTGTTCTTAGTCTAAAATTATATACAGGAGTTTTAATATCATGAGGCTTGTTAGCTTATTGCCGGTTTATACCTAGCTCTTTAATTATACATCCTTGGAGTTGCTATACTTCATATGACAGTTTCGTTTTTCTTTTGTAAAAAGAATATCTGCCGGCTTATTACTTTTCATGAAGAACCTCCCAAATTTTCATGAATTCTAAAATTTTCTAAAGAATGTGCTTTGTTAGCTATAAATTGTACATTTTTGGCCTCTCCCCAAAGAAGCCTGGCAAAAAAAAAAAAATCTCTCGCAAAAGTGTGTTTGAATTCTTCTCATGATCAAATGACAAGAGTTAAAATTGTGTTTTTTTAAAAAAAAAATCCAAATAGTTTTTCACATGCTAAAACTAATTATAAATTCAAAATCACAATTATTACATAAGTCATCAAGCACTCCTTAAGTAAAAGAATTTAATTAATTTGTTATTCCTGCATGGTTGGAAACATTATGTATTTAGAGTTTGTGGGCTCACAACAAAAACAAAAAGGAATATATATGTGACTTCAAAAGCACGGCCCTGCCCTCGTCATCACATCCACTTCCTTTCCTTTCCCATTTTTTCGGGTTTTTTTTTTGGCCGGACTTGTTATTCACTTTTAAGACCAAGACCAGATTCGCTACCTTTTCTAAACTCTTGGCATTTAGAATTATTGATATTTAATTACTTTTATGATATTACAAATGTCGACTTTTTTTGACCAGCATTACAAATGTCGACTTACAACATCCTATCTCATATTTAAAATATAAGAGTTAGGCAACTTTCACTATTCATAACTAAAATTTAAATTTGTTTGAAGGATTAAAGTTGATTTTTTTCTAAAATTACAATTGATAGTTCTCAACACTTCAATTCATACATTTTAAAATTACAAATGCAAAATATCCTTATAATATCAAAATGGATTGTATTATAATTTCAAAAAAATACTGATAATAACTTTCTATACTGTCAATATTCATAATATAAAATCTATAAATCTAAAAAAAAAGAATTATTTGTAAATCACACAAAGTGTGATATGTTTCTTAAATTTTGTGAAATGTATGGAAGAATGTGTCATGTTAATTATCGTTTTTTTTTTGGGTAAAATGTTAATGATAGTTTTGATCGTTGTATCTTTTACTTCTGAAATTTCAAAATTTAATATAAATTATACAATTATACAAATCAACACAATATCATCATTATAAATCAACAAAATTTTTAGAAAATCGTATTGTTCATAAATCTTTTTTTGACTCATTTTTAAACCCTATAAAGAAAATGGGCTTGAATAATTTGGTTCAATCACGTGTTTTCATCAACTAACCACATTATTCCTTTCAGAAAGAAATCGCCACCCTTTCTTCAATTTTTAAGATGACAAGGACTGATGTTGATATTTTCTACCGTTTGGTTGAAAATAACCAACTTTTTTAATGGAATTCGTTAAAAGATTTTTTTTTTTTTTGGGTTTAATTTTGATGTGCGCATTACGTTATTCGAATGCTTACTATTTTAATCTAACAAGAGCAATTTATAGATACTTTCACTCTTTATAATTCTATATAACTTGATTTTTTTTGAAAGCTACAAGAAGTCCACAATATTGAGCTTCATATTTCTATGGTGAATGCAAACTTGTTTCAATGCGATTCCAATAAGTGTATTGCTCATCACTACGATAAGATCTCTACCGTTCAAATACAATTGTTACACGTATGATCTGCAACATCAAAGTTAAATTACACCATATCCTCTCTCACGAAGGAGCTTCCCATCATGAAAAATAATGCATGAACATGTCAAGGATGGATTTACTATGTTTCTCTTTATGATCTGATTTAATGGACTCATCTTTTTATTTATCATCTGAATTTAAGAATTTCTTTCCAGAATCTGATGTTCAGGACAAATTACAAGTCATGAGGTGGCAGATAACAACCTGCGTGTGTTCTTCACAGGCAAACAAACAAATGGTACACAGAGAAAAAAGGTAAAGGGGAATGTTCACCAATGAATGTAGGACTTGTCCATATTTACAAGACAGTACTTTCCAGAGAGAAACTTCCTAATCTTGGAGGGTTTGCACAAAAGAATAAAACACTCCCCCAAAAAAAAAAAAGGAAAAAGAAAGGTAAAATTTGCAAAGTTTACTTGACATAACAAGCATTGAAAAACATGTTGAAAGAAAGAATAAAACATTAGCGTCTGAGATTTACATGCTCTGATCATATTGCGTGGCAAAGGTTGTAGTAGCAATGGTTGAAGAAGTTGATGACAACGTAGTGTCCTGGTTGTCCGAGGCAGAGGTTGCGTTATATGAAGATAATGTCTTCATATCAACTTCGTTTTTCCGGTTTCCACCAATTTTGAGGTCCATAAAGTCAGAAATCAAGGCTGGTTCTGTTATCTTACTGTCATCAACTTCCTTTTTGCCGGTGAGCATCTCGACCACTGAAGACATGGATGGCCGGAGTTTCGGAACTTCCTGAGTGCAAAGAAGGCCAACTTTCAGAAACTTGCAGGCTTCCTCGGCATCGAATTCCCCGTTTAGTGATGTGTCTACCAGCCCTACCAATATCCTTCGCTGATAATGTTTCCATGTCTGGAACAACAGAAGTTTAAATAAGAGCAGGTCCTGAAATCTTTTATGAAGCTTCAAAATAGATTGCAGTTGCATAAATTCAATCAAAGTGTGGAGCAATTCCTCTTCTAAATTGTATCTTTTAGGAGATACAGCTAATTTATCAGTTTAATTCTAAATTCCGGTCAGGCTTGTATTTAATGTTACAATCTTCCATTGACAGATTCTGCTTCTCTAATTTCATTGTTTACAAGCACTTCATTTCACAATAACAAGTCATCTGAAATTCAAGAGCGATTCATAAATTAGCAGATATTCAAACCAACAAGCAAAAACAGATATATAGATCTTCATGAATCAATTCCAGTGTGAAATCTTTAGACCTCAAAGGCTCCAAATTCAATTTGAAACAACTTGAAGGATCGGTAAGAAGCAACTCATATTACTTTAGAGCCCCATCAAGAATTAAAGTGACATTACGTCGGTAAGAAGCAACTTGAAGGAAATGAATGACCGATAGGATTGAGAATATGACAGAAGAGAGATCCATACCCTGTCTAGAAGGTATTGTTCTTCCTCTGGCAATCGTGTGTTTGTATTACATCTCCCACTGACAATTTCCAAAAGAAGTACACCAAAACTGTAAATGTCTACTTTTCTATTCACCTGCCCTCTTACTGCATATTCCGGTGCCAGATAACCTCTGAAATAGAAAATGTAGCAGTAAATTCCATACGTCCAATAGTTAAAAAAAAATGAAAATAGCATAAGAAACATAACTCGTCTGAGATATTGAAGCTTCCCTCTTCACGCGCAGAGGGAAAGGTGATCAATAAGTAATAGACAGCAAAAATAATTCAATCCTAAATATTTATGCATGCTTGCATAAACACATAACTGCTCCTCAGCACTTAGGTTAATGTGAGAATTGCATTTTTTAACAACAGAAATTCCCAAACAATACCAGGTTTCTTGAGTCAAAGATAACACCTTATGGTAGTAAATGTATTGTTTAAATTAATAATTAACAAATTAATCATTAAAAATATATTTCTATGTGAACTCTAAAGTCACCAATTGACATGGATGTAAATTTATATGTGGAACAAAAAACTTGAGTATTTTCCTCCTTTGTGACCGCCCCTTCTGAGAGATCAGAAACCATTGATGCGTACAAAAAGTGAAATCAATCTATTTAGTAGCCAAATAGAAACTCTTTAACAAACAAAATATGGTGTAATTTTGGTTAATAAGCATGTGTTAGGAGTGCTGACTACCAAATTCCTAGTGAAATGCGGGATTTTGAGTTTAAAACTGGGAAGTTGATGTGGAAAAATCGAGTCTTCCTACCAGGACAGCTACTTTGCATAATGAAAACAACAGACAAAACTGAACTTATAAACAAGAATCCACCAGTTTCCGCAGAGACTGTAAATCAGAAAAGAAAGTCTCATAGAAGCAGAACTTACATTGTCCCTGCCACACGTGTGCTGACATGAGTCATGTTTGGTGGGATAAGCTTTGCAAGCCCAAAATCTGAAATCTTTGGTGTAAGGTCTTTGTCAAGGAGAATGTTGCTTGCTTTTATATCCCTATGAACAATATGTGGTTTTACTTCTTCATGAAGAAATGCAAGCCCACGGGCAATCCCAATGCAAATTCTAGTCCGTGTTCGCCAGTCGAAGAAAATATTGCTGTGACATCCACCTGAAAAAACAGGCATAAGGTCAGCATTTAGTAAAATCTATCAACAAATAAAACACTAAGAGTTACTGATGAATTAGAGTAAATGCTTTCACCTAGAAGTGTCTGTGCAAGACTGTTATTCTCAAGATAATTGTAGACTAATATTCTGTGATTGCCATCCACACAACAGCCATATAACTTAACTAAATTTTCATGCTCTATTTCTGAGATCACTTTGATTTCTGTCAAGAATTCATTCACCCCTTGACTTGATCCAGCTGCAAGGACTTTGATAGCAGCAATTTTCCCGTCTTTTAGCTTTCCCTGGCCATTCATAGAATTCTCTTAAGATCTCATTCATCAAACAATGGAGAAGAAATCTATTTCCAAACTTCTATGGCAATGCAAGCAAGAACTGAAATCTTGGGCTTATAAGTGCTGCGACTACCTTATAGACAGAACCGAAGCCTCCCTCTCCAATTTTGTTGGCTGGACTGAAATCCTCGGTGGAAACACTTAATTCTTTGTAGGAATAAAGAATAAGATTGTGAACACCTGATAATTCTGTTCACAAATATATACAGTCAAAATTTAACACTGGGTCTAGTATTTGTTGAATGCATCATGCTAAGAGTATCTTAATTCAAGCACACACCCATGTCCTTAAAACATAAATCAATTTTAATATCAACTGTTTAAAGAAGTATTTTACCTTCATCAATTTCAGGATCTCGTATCACTGGAGGTGTAACCTTCCTACGAGTTAAGCAAGAAAAACATGACGTCATGACCGACTGAAAGCAACTACTAAGGAGCAGTTTTCACTTTCAATTGATAACGATTGCTTCAAATGAAACCACCGCAAAGCCCACCTAATTTAACCATCAAATTGGAAACGGTCAGTGTCTCAAAGAACAAGATAAGAGCTGAACAATCTAGAAGGATTCCATGGTATGTTACCGGGATGTTAAATGCAAAAAGTAATAACTGACTAACTAATTCCAATTTTTCTACTAATGTCCATGTTAATGAAAGAGGATTGCCACTGAGGTGTGTCCAAAAGAATCAAAAGCCTAGTTAAAATTAAACTACATAAAGGCACAGAGATCTCCATCAGATTTTCTGGAAATCTAATGCAAAACCAGCTGAATTCACTATGTGGCTTCCATGTAACTAAGTCATAACGTTCAATGTAAAAACAAGTCAACACTAGGAAATGCGGTTAAGGATTTTAGAGAACATCTCTTGCTGACCAGACAGAGTAATGAAATTGGGATCAATCATACTATTGCCCTCTCTTTAGTCACCTATTGCAGGGCATGCGTTTGACTTTTGTTCCACTTTATTTAACCTAACTTTTGAGAAACGAAGTTCTCCTTCCTGGTTATACATGTCTATTTTACCATTGCTCAGGGTTTAAGCATGAAAGTTTGAAGTGCTGAAATAGAATGAGAAAAGTCCAAAAGTCCATTACAAAATTTAGAGCATAAGAAAAAGGGGGAAAGAGCAACCAGTCAATAAAACCGCCCACAGAGACAGAGGAACACTTAATCACCGTTTGTTTCAAGAAACCAAATCCAAAACACTTGCAGGTTTCCAAACAGAAATAAAAACAGAACACAGGCCTATAATTGAGGGGTAACTAAACAAAATATTGGATGAAAAGTATTACTGAAACTAAGCTGAGAAGCAGCTATTGGAAGCAAGAGAAGCACCACCTTGACAAAGCTGAGAAAAAAAGGAAAACAGGTAGAAGAAATGGGAGAAACCAGAGAGAGAAAGTGTGATTGAATTGGGTTTTGTGAAGCCTCTTGAAGAGGATATTGGTAGTTATTGTTTTGGCGAGGTCGACGAAGGAAGAATACTACTTTGAAAATTCATCTTCTTTCCAGCTATGGTATGAGGCGACGGCTATGCATCCCAAACAAGCGGCGCGTGTTTGATAATTTAATTAATCAATTAATAATAATAATACAAATTTGTTTTGAATATTCTCCTAGTTGTGATGCCAGCCTTCAACAAATTCAGTGGGGTCCTCGTGGAAATTAGTGGGAAAACAGTAAACATGATTGAGGTTCCTCTTACCGTTATGGCGTTATCCATGCATAATAAAGTATTCATCCGATCCTTAATATAAGATCTATTTAATTAATTTAATTGAATTAGGAAAGTTAGTTAATTATAAGAAATGTGACACATTTTTACTAAAATATCATAATCACTTTTCTTAATACCCTATCTTCCTCTTCTACTTGATTATGGTTAAGGGAGTATTCATAAAGATAATTTAGAGAAAATTGATAAATATGATAAATGAGTCTTATATTTGAGATCAAAACCAACTCAACAATTAGATCCTATATTAAGAACCGGAGAAGTAATAAATTCGGGAAAGTTTTTAGTTGACTATTCTTAAAAAAAATTTGTGTTGACTTCTTTTCGTCACGTTTTTTTCGATAACTTCCTTTCACTAAGTTATCGGTCAAAATCTGAATTTACACTATTAAAATATGTTTTCCCTCTATGTTGTCAAAAGAAATGCACCATTTAACTAGGTACACACAAGATCCGAATCATTGTTTTTCTGTTCATTTAATCTTAATAATCACAAAACCACATATCTTATCGTTTCTTTCCCCCGAAGCAGCGGGCAAAGGCAAGCTGGGTTTGGGACAGCGACTCGAATCTTAGTATGTTTCTGTTGTAAAATTAGGCATTCAGGCTCAGTGATGTCTCACTAGCATTTGTGTTTTCTCTAAAATTTGATTTACTTTTTTTTTAGATTAAACATACAGGAAAATAGACAAGTAAATAGCCCTAACATCATCAAACCCAAATCAATTCCCGAAATTCACAAAATCCCAAATCCCTTCAAAGATGTTAAAATTGAATTTCAGAATTTGAGAAATTCATCAATCATGAAAAAACCTCTCACCTCTAGTAGTCGTGTGGCACTGGCAACGGCCATCAACGGCGGCCCCTACCACCAACAACCAGATAATTTTTACATTATTTGTTATTTGTAGGATTTTCTTACATATCAAAAAGAATATTAAATAGATAAAATTTTCCACTTTTTTTCTTACTAAAAATATATAAATATTGGGAAAAATATTATATAATACTAATATATTTTTTCTCACCATCTCTTGATTGCCAAAATAATATGTAATTATTGAGTCACTAAAAGATTTCTTAGTAAAATAACACAAAATGAGATGTAATATAATAATCAAATTTTGATCTATAAATATCAACAATATGACTAGAAAATGATTATGACATTAACTAAGTGTTTGTGAATATAGTCCAGCTCTAGCATCGCCAGGTTTTTTATGAGGGAAAATGAAGTAAATGTTCTAAATTCTAAAATTCATTTTAGTACCTTTGATCTGATTCAAAATTTTGTGAATTTACGAGACTAATTTAAGTTTTCACGATTTTAGGGATATTTATTTGTCTTTTTCTTTTTTTCCCCTAATTTAGGTTTTTTCCATTTTATAATGTAACTTTCCATCAAGTTGTAAGAATTTAACCCTTGTATGATGCATGATTTTCCCTTGGTTTTCTTTGCCTTTTTCCTGTTTATGTTTAAATGAATTATCAAAAAAGTCTTAAGAATTCAGTCTTTGTCCAAAACATATTCTGATATTCGCATGATTTTCCCTTCTTTTTCCTGTTTAATAATTTTGTCATTGAACGAAAGCATAAACCGTGAAAAACTGGAAAAAGAAGAAAGTTTGACTTCAAACTTTTGAAGTCAATAAAAGGGTGTGAACATAAATTCCATACACAAGGTCGATAGCTGCAACACGTTTTTTTTTTAAAAAAACAAAGGCCAACTACAGTACAACACGTTTGAACTGAAAATGATTATATTGACTTCAGAATAATTAGATTTTGCCTTTTTATTCTGGTCGATGTTCAATGATCAAGATCGACTTCACCATTTGACTTGAATCATTTCAAATATTGACCGGTTTCCCATCAATCATAATGCAAAATATGATTAATTTTTTTTTAATTCATTACAATTTTGTTTAAGACTAACTAATTGAGACCGTCGGACAATTTTGGCTTTGTCTGTGTTTTCAAGTATAAATTGATGGGCTCAAAACTTCAACTCGTAAAATTAATAAATTATATTATCTCTTATTCTTAATATAAAAAATAGTTGACTAATTTAAATAAATTAAGAAAAAAATTAAATTAGTTATTTGTAATAAATAAGTATTGTCTTTTCTAAAATACTATTGATAATCTTATGCCTTAGTTAAAACTACTATTTGATGAAATATTAACATGTACAACCATTATAAGGATTACTTTGAAAAAAACGAATAAATATGATAGACAAAGTGAATCAGGGTCTTACATTTAAAACCACATTAAATATTAAACTAACTCTTGTATTAAGAACATGATGTAATATTAAACTAATATTGATTCCTATCATAGTATCAATGCGTAATAATGAGAAATATACTCTTGTTTTTCCTACCGGAGAAGGAGGAACACATCTTGAAAAAGTACATCCAGAGCAAGTATCTAAAGAATAATTTGATTGAAAAATGACATAAATATAATTAAGGATTTAATTTTAACTTAATATCAAGTCCAAATCAATAGTTGTGGATATCAAAATGTTCATATCCAAATTATTTTTGGTTTACATTGATAGTTTTATAATTATTTCTCCATAAATAAGAAGTCGCAGTTATATATTTAATCTCTAACTTGAAAAAACTGGATTTACCTCATCAAAATCAGGTAAGATCATTAATTTTTTGGGATGAGCAGGGACGGATAGCGGAAATTTGAACTAAAAGATCATTTTACTGAATTAAGAAATTACATGAGTTAGAATGTTGAGTGAAAAAATTAAGAATTGAGCAATGATTGAATTATTCTGAGTCAAACATAAAGATTAAAGTATTTTAAACCAAAACTTACAATTAAACAGATAATTAAAAGGAAAATTATAATTAAGTTCAAAAAAAATATAATTACTATAAAATCTTAATAACAATTGAGTAATTCGTAATGTCAAGTTTTAGAATGATTAAAAAACCCTCACTTGTTATTAAATTTTTTTAGTAATTTTTTTCTGAGATTCTGTTACAATTCTTTTATAATTAAAAGTTACTATATTTGTCTTAGTTTCTTTTCTTTCTTTCTTTTTTTCATTTATATATATACACACGCACATTATTCAATGAGGGTGAGAGAATGAGCACGAACCAAGGCCCTTGCGACGACGATCACCTAACAATAATGAATTACGCATTCGGGAATTAGGTCCCCGGCGGACCGGTTCAACACCTACCCGACCCAGAAAGCGGGGTACGTGTTCGAACTCCGAACCACTACCATGATCGTTGATTTCCACCTCCAGTAGATTGGGACCAGTGCTGCTACTTTCTCTGCTCTTTTTTACTTCCGCGACAAAGAAACGCGTTTCCGAGAGAGCTGGGCTCATTTACCAGAACCAGAGAAGCCATGAACAGCGCCGTCACCAAGGTTGCCGTTGTTGGGAGTGGAAGTAAGTGATGTAGTTTTTTTTTTTCCCCTCCTTTTGGCGTGGTGCTTGCTTGTAAGCTTCATACTTTTAGAGATGGACATTAAGAGAAATTAATGGAATGTGGGCAGTTTCTGGTGCTGTTTGCGCTTCAACTCTTGCCGGGAATGGAGTTCCCGTCACTCTCTTCGAGTCAGCCAGAGGCCCTGGTGGGCGCATGTCCCAACGGAGGTTCCTTCTTTTTCACGTTTTTATTTTCGTTCTCTTACATTGTATCAGCATGTCAAAGTCACTTCTGGATTTAGGAACATCACGTTTAAAGCTTTTACTACTTGGCACTTCTTTTCTTCAATGATGATGATCATGGTAATTATGATCCCGGAAAAACTTAACAGAACGAAGACTCATTGCTCCGCCTCCCCCCCCCCCCATTTGTAATTGCCTTTATATTATTTTTTTCTAAAATCTCAGTTTCAATGGTTTAATTATATGATTTTAAGTGTTTCTGAGCAGTTAAAATGTTTATAAATGGCTCACAATTTATTATTCCCGAAATACATTTTATTGATTTTTTGCTGTTCTGTCAAAGTAACAACAACTGCATTAGTCACAGCAAAACTAGCAGCGCTGATGAAATTCTCAGATATAACATTGTGATCCTTGAAAAAAAATCCTAAATTTGATATCTTATTAATTTCAGAGAAAACACTGAAGACGGGAAGGAGCTACTCTTTGACCACGGTGCTCCATTTTTCTCAGTCAGCAAGTCAGAGGTGTTATCTCTAGTTCACGAGTGGGAATCAAGGGGCCTCATAGCTGAATGGAAAGAAAAGTTTGGCTCATTTGATTTTTCTACTCGTAAATTTACTGAAATAGAACAGGTTGACGAGTTTTCTTCAAACGTATGATATGATTGTGTCCTGTATTGAGCAGTGATATTTGATCTAAATTATTTGGTAGGCAGTGTTATTATCTGTTTCAATGGTCACTGGCACCTAATATAATTTTTTTAAAAATGATAAGCTATATATATATAGTTAGCTCACTATTTCCATTTCAGGATATTTATAAGATTTTAGATCGTGGTCATACAAGTACTTGCTTCTCATGCATACTCATAACTTAGCTGGTTCAGTTATGAAAATTCAAAGTTAGGATCATTGTACAAATTGACACACATGGATAATGACTCTGTTGTTTTGTTGCCTTTCGGTTATGTGGGGCACTATTTTCCTTTTCTCACTGTCATTTCCAGCACCAATTATGTACTTGCTTAAATTTTTTTTTTTTTTTTGGGGGTTTGCATAAGCATTGTTCTTTCTCTGACTTTCAAATGTTAAAGGAAGGATTAAGCAAGAGATACGTGGGTGTCCCAGGCATGAATTCGATATGCAAAGCATTGTGCATTGAGAATGGTAATCACTTCATTCTGTTGTCTATTTCTTTGTTCAGAGTTGATGGTGGACCATCAAAAATGCGAATTTCCCCCCTTGTCTTCAGGTGTGGAAAGCAAGTTTGGAGTGAGTATTGGAAAAATTGAGTGGTCAGATAATGAACACTTATGGTCATTGATGGGCTTAGATGGACAAATTCTTGGCCAGTTCAAGGGGATTGTTGCATCAGACAAGAATATAGTTTCTCCCAGATTCACAGAAGTGTCAGGGCGGTTGCCACCTCTTGGTATGATATTAATTTGGTACTTTATGGTCTACTAGATGAACCAACATGAAATTGATAAGCTGGACAGATGGGCTATGTTTTGACTATTTATATTCAAATCTGCCCTAGGGGCATCGATGTAATCAGCTTGGTTATATGTGTGTTTGTATTCTGAAAGGTGAAAACCTAGCGTCTAAACTCTGGGTGCTTTATGTCAAATGATACTTTCTGTGGCATATCTGTGGTCAATAGTGGCATATTGACTTTTGCGATGGATGCAGATATGAATTTGATGCCAGAGTTATCAGCAAAGTTGCGTGATCTTCCTGTTAGGCCATGTTTTGCTGTAATGCTGGCATTTGCGGAGCCTCTAAACTCAGTATGATAGTAGCTACACTCCTCTGAAGTTGTCATTAATAGTGAATGAATTCTGTATGGCTTGTTTGATTTCCTTATTCACTGCATGACTGGTTTTGGCTTGGCCATTTTCTACTTCCTTTAGTATATATGGCTTGCTATCCAAACTGAAAATTGAAGTTGGTAGAGAAGACGGGAGGTTTATGTCTAATTATTGTAGTTTTTTTCGCCAAAGACTAATTATTACTCCTCTGGTTCTTAATATATGACCTAATTGTTGAGTTAATTTTAGTTCTAAATATAAGACCTATTTTTTATATTTATTAATTTTTCCTAAATTACTCTTATGGATACTCCTTCAACCATTATCAAATAGAAGATAGAGGGATGATATCAAGAAAGATGATTATGGTGTTTTAGAAAAAACATATCATATTTTTTATAATAAATTAACTTACCTAACTTTCTTAGTCTCATCAAATTAGTTAAATAGATCTTATATTAAGGATCGAAGGAGTATTATAGTTAATTATACTAAAATAATGGCTTGATTGCGTATTTTAAATATATACTTAAGATAATCTTCTGTGAAACAAATTCAGTTTATATGGTTCAAAATTTTCAGTTACCCTTCAAAGGCTTCTCCATCAAGAATTCTAACACTTTAAGGTGGGCTCACTGCGAGAGCAGCAAGCCAGGCCGTTCTACTCATAGGTATTTGTTTAATCTTCTTTCGTTTTCCGTTAATTAATAACTTATTGATTGCCAGTGGCATGTTTACTTTACAGTGAAAGATGGGTTCTTCATTCAACAGCAGAGTATGCAGAGAACATAATTGCTCAAACTGGACTCAGGAAGCCCTCAGACACAACATTGAAAAAAGTGGCTGACGAGCTTTTCCAAGAATTTCAAAGCACAGGACTCGACATATCTCAACCTTTTTTTAAGAAAGCTCACAGATGGTCAGTATGTGAATAGGAGTTCTAAGCATACTGTTAATTTTTTTGGTAATAGCATACTGTTAATTCTTACAACATGGACATCTACTTTATTTTTCTGCCTACTTACTTTGTTTACTAGCCATTCCGTTACTTAATGGTAAATTCCTGTGAAATTAACACTAGCAGGCGATTCTATGCTAACAAGGGAACTGTCTTGCAATGTTGGTTGGTTTTTTAGGGGGAGTGCGTTTCCAGCTGCTAGTATTACCCCTGTGGAAAGATGTCTTTGGGACAGAAATAAGAGATTGGCCATATGTGGAGACTTCTGTGTGAGTCCCAATGTGGAAGGTGCTGTAGATAGCGGTTTGGCAGCTGCTTCGAAGCTTATGGAGTCTGTGAATTGTTTATAGTTGGAGAAGTATCTCTATCATGTAACTCGAGTTTTTTATAATATGGTTCTTGTTCAAACTTCGGAGAGTTTGCATGAGTGTATTTTCATCTTTACTCAGAAGGATAAGGACATATAGAAGCCCTCTCAAGGGCACTGGCACATAATAATAACACATACCAAGGGCACTCGATAATTTTAGCATCATTACATTGATCGATTTCCACCGAAGGATTTGTCATTTTTTTCCCTTTTTTTTGGGGATAAACGATCAATTTTATTGAAAGATGAAACGATTGGTTACATAAAAATCCAAGCTAAAAGAGGTCACTCCAACTTGAGTTTAACACACACACACACAACATAAAAACGAGAGACGGAAATTAAAGAAGCCCAGGCTGTATGATATGATTATTCCAGCTGCGTACAAACGCTACAACAATAAATAGTTTAACCGTCAAAGCGACGTAACCAAACTAGGAAAGTAAGAAACTTGATAACATGAGACGGAAATTAAAGAATTCGTCATGTTGGTATGATCATATATAATAAGGCTATTAGTTATTCTGTCAGTGACAAGGGCCATCGGTGATATTACTCCAACCCCAAACAAATGAAAAACTAAGAATGAACATGAAAGGAATTCAGAAGCGATTGCAGCAAGCAATAGAAGGGGAAAATAGCAATCAAGGAAATAAAATGGAATAACTATTACCTTTTTTATTTGTTACGAGTTAGAAGTACAACATTTGTACTGCTTTCACTTTCTCTGTTTGCTCATTTCTCCATTTGTGTTGCTTGTGCTTCTCTTAAGATCAATGAGAAAAGCAGTACAAATCAAATCACCTGAGCTGCATAAACATTTCCCAATTGAACGGGGTTCAACCAAGAAATGGCATTTAAATCGTCAAAACCAGATCCACTTCACTTGTCATGGGGAGGAAATCTTTCTTCATCAGTAAGCTATGCATCACCCAGTTAATCAGTAACGCCAGAAGAATTTGCTCTTCATGGAGTTTCCTCAAGTATAATTTCATCTTCAAGGGATGGTGCCGTGTTCCTGCTATATGCAAATCCTGCTTGGCCAGTTCCCTCTATCAGTGAAGACCGAACAACCTACAGGTAGTTTAATTATGTAAGTACTTATGATATATAAAACTCCACTTAATTCACTTGCGTAACTTCTCCCAGCAACTTGCTTCACTCTAAAACCCTCAAGTAGATAATATGGAAGCAGAACAATCTTTCAAAGTAATTGGGTACAATGATCATGCATGGCATTTGATAAGTGAATCATTAGAAAAGAAATGCAATGAGAATAAGAAAAGCATCATAAGGTGATTGGGTGAGATCATTTAGGTGTTCCAACATCCTGACAGATAATCATTTAAGCGTAAAGGCAAAACAAACGGAGCAAGCAGCAATCACTTGATTAATTTCATGAGAGAGAAGAGCATACAACATCTGACCTTGTTCGCTATTCAATGAAAAGCATTCAGCAGACTTAAGAGTAACCAACCTTTTCAAGTTCTTCTAGAAGATGAGGGTTCTCCTTCAAGTACAGCATTGCTTTGTCCCTTCCCTGTCCCAACCTATTTTAACACAGAGGATAAATCACATTAAGCCAAGGGGATTCCATGTCTTATAATTAAACAGTACACAGCGTATGTCACTTCTTACTGGAAAGAAAGCACCAGGAGAGCATGCCAAACTAATATGAACGAACACTAATTGGCAAGTTGTTTGAAAGCATACCGATGATCTCCATAGCTATACCAAGAGCCCTTCTTTGAGACAACATCCAAGATTTCTGCGCAATCTAAAATGCAACCCTGCATTGAAATACAAAGTCAAAATAGTGAATGATGCACACACAGTGAGGTGACAATCGCTTTCTAGCTGCGATACTTACCAGTTTGCTGACTCCCTCTCCAAATATAATCTCAAATTCAGCTTGTTTGTAAGGCCTTGATACCTAACACAGCTTGCTAGGTCAGGGATCTTTAGAGAGAAGTGTAAAGTCAGAGAGAAATACAACATGGTGCAGATCAGAACATCTTTGAGTAAAACTTGGCAGTGATAAAAAGGCTCAAACAACCAGTGAAATGAAAGATTTTAGTGCAAGGCTCATGAGGTTGTCACCAAAGTGTAACTCTAGTAAGAATAGAAAACAAAAAAAGATCAGGACATAAAATAAAGACAACCCTACAGATGCTTTATGGAGACGGGAAACTGAAGTTCAGCTAAAAGAGCAGGTTATTGTTTAATTCACCAAGACTGTTCCAGTAGAGGGCCAAAAAAGCCCTAAAGCCCACACACACACACACACAGAGATCCATAATTACAGAGAAGATTTTTTTATCCACACGATCTTTATGCCATAGTTCAATGTCTCATTATGCTTCTCCTTTTTCTAAGTTGGGTCTGTACACTAAAACTAGCGCAAACCCAGCAACAAAACTTACAGACACATAGTTGAAAGGAAAATTTTGAGCCATTCCAGAAACAAAATGTCATATTCCAACTGAGCATGTCAAGCGCCATCACTGAAATGACAAACAGCAAAAGGAAAAACATTGACAGGCACATACTCATAAATTCTAACATACCTTGCTCTTTTGGACTCTCACACGAACCCTAAGGCCAATTTCTTCATCACCTTTAGCCTAAAAGGAAACGAAATGCACAAATATAAATCAATTATGATATTACAATCAAAAGAAAGATATATTTATTTATGGCACAGGTTTTGCACTTACAGATTTTATCTTCCCTGTGGAACGTATTTCAAGTCGAACTGAGGCAAAAAACTTTAAAGCAATTCCACCACTTGTCACTTCTGGATTTCCATAGTAAACACCGATCTACAGAAGTAAATGAAGTTGAGCCATCTTATCAAAAGTTTTTCCTTTTTTTTTCCCCAGTCACTAAGAAGATTAGGTAATCAGCCATGACCAAACAATATATTTTAACCATATGCACGTAGACATCCAGAAACAAAGCAAACCTAATTACCTAGAAGTACCTTGTATCTTATTTGGTTTAAAAATATAAGAGTGCAACCAGCTTTAGAGGCATTTCCAGACATCTTTCTCAAAGCTTGGCTCATGAGACGAGCTTGCAACCCCATTTGCTGCATTCCAATCTCACCCTATATTTTCAAGAGAAGAGCACAAAGAATTACAAAAGCTACCCAATCCCTAACCTGTTTAAAATAATAACAATTAAAACCCAAATGAGAAGGAAAATGGTTGCATACTTCAATTTCTGCCCGTGGAGTGAGAGCTGACACAGAATCTACACAAATGAGATCTATCGCACCAGATCTACACATGCGATCTGCAACTGTAATAGAGAAAGAACAATCAACCCACATACATCGTAACACAAAGCACCCCCTACTGCCACAAGGACTATACCAAAATCAACAATTTCAACATAACCACATGAAGAGAAAAGACAGTATTACTCTCAAGAGCCATCTCTCCATGATCAGGTTGGCAGACAATCAAATTTTCTACATCCACTCCTAAAGCTTTAGAATATGCTGGATCAAAAGCATGCTCAGCATCAACAAGCATTGCATTACCTCCTAACTTCTGCACAATATGATCAGAAGAGTCAATATCAGTCTCAATCCCAAAACTCATTTGACACCAAGTGAACCTTCAAGCCAAGGAATTAATGGTAGCATGAAAAGATCCAAAAAGATGAAATACTTGCACTTCCGCAATGGCATGCAGTGCTAGGGTGGTCTTCCCACTGCTTTCTGGTCCATATATCTGGAAAGTGATAGAACAGATAATGTGAGCTAGTCATGGCAGGCTAATATTTCAAAGGATTTTTGAGCAGACTGCCCCATGCCATGTTGCAAAATCAAGAAAGGAAGAATTAGAGTAGCTAAAAGTCTATACAAGCTTGCTCTGATGGTTCATACCATAAATCTCACAAACGACCGCACTTTTCAGTGTAGCTTAAGCACCATATGATATATATGATCGCCAAAAGAGTCAACGTAAGAGCAGAAGATAAAAGAAATTAAGAAAAGCACAAAGACAGAATCAATACCTCCACAATTCTTCCTTTTGGAAGGCCACCACCTAAAGCACAGTCTAACGTCAAACAGCCACTTGGAAAAGTTTCACTGCAATGAACGTTATGTTTAAGAAATTGTCATGTGTCATCTGATCTACAACACAAAAGAAAGTGGAAAGAATAATTTGAAAATTTGACAAACTTAAAGACACAGGAGTCAGAAATATTGGCAGAGATGTAGGGAAATACATACACCAAAGCTCCTCCAGCACTGCCTAATCTTGTGACACTTCCCTTTCCAAATGAGTTATTTATATCATTCATTGCTGCTTCCAACGCTTTTTGCTAAAAGACAAATTTCACCGTCAAAATTAACATACTTTTGATTCAAATTTCATTTTGGATACAGGAAGAGATTTCATCAAAGAGAGAAATAGTACAAATAGGAGAGAGGATTCTGTATTATTCAAAACAGAGAAACAAAAATGAAAACAAGGAGCCAAATAAGCTTAACCGCTCGAGGAAGCAACGAAGCTTTCATATCTATCTGCATGTTAAAGGGTGGAAACTCCTTAAAACACCCAATTTTTACCAAGAACTCTAAACTCCAAAAGAGAAAAGAAGAAAACAAACTCCAAGGGAAAGTCACCATTTGATTATGTTAAAGCTGTTTTAGAACTAAATCTGCACATAACAGCACATATTAAGGGAAGAAAAAGTGAATAGGACTACAGGATTTGTGCTATGACATTTGTAATAAACCCATATTGACATGTTAAATGCTACACAAGCCTGGAAGCTAAATAAGGTATTTACAAGCCTAGAAAACTCAACCATTCCCTCCACGGGAAGAGATGACGAGCACAAAGTAGGCAGCAGGCAGCAGGCAGCAGCGCGCGCACGGTGTTTAATTCAAAATGCTCCACAACCTTCTTGTGTTTATTCACATTAAATAATTTCATAAATCCTAGGTGTATATCCAGCATAACAGTAGGACAGCACAAATCAAGCATAAAATTTAGATACAGGGATTCGCTATCAATTTTTTTTCGCTAAAAACATTACATGTGGAGACTTTCCGATAAACTTTTTCTTAAACGTTTGTCCCCGTGATATAATTTATTGAAAAAATTCGCTAGACAAACACCTAAAAAAACTTAAAAGGCTTTTCAACATATCAAACTGAGAGTTTGTGACTCAGAATAACTACTAGAAGTTCAGCTCACTGGAATACGATAACTACGCAAAGAGTTGTGAGTTTGTGACTGACAAACTCTCGTTTAGGGTGACTAGGAACAAAGAGTTAAAAGTGGTCAAAACATTGCAGCATTTACAAATTTCAAAGAGAAATGAAACAAGCCTTCACCAAAAACGCAATGCTACAAGTGATGAAATGAACCTCTGAAAATCATTTTTCGACAAATCGAGAAAAGCAGGCAGATAAAGCAATGCATATACATACCCGGTCAATGAAGCGGGGGTCAAAATCACCAGAAAGAGCGCCGTTAACTTTCCCTTCGAACTCGCACCGAATCTTAACCTGCTTGGAGGCGGACTTAGGGATGAAGCGAGTGCGACAAGACTGGTACTTGGGAGGGAAAGGAAGGAAGAGGGAGGAGGATAGCTTGAGATTGACCCCATGAGGTTTAGTAGAGAATAGAAAATCCATTACAACAGATAGGAATGACCTATGACAAGACGGCAACACAATATGCTGCTGCCCAAGCAGCTGAAGAAGAACGAGACGAAGATACAGTGAAACACAATGAGGAAGAAATGAGCGCGGGTTACCGATAGTCTGATACTGGCGAACGAATATCCCTTTTCGTTCCACTTCTCCCCACACAAAAATCTTGCACTCGGTAACAATCCAACAACATCAATACCAATATTCAATTCAACTACAAAATTACGTTTCATTGATCATATAAAAACAAGGGCCAATTCGCTTTTGTTTCACGCAAAAGAAGTACTTCCTTTCAAGCGTTGCTGTGATTAAGAGGAGTTTGACTTCATGTGAATTCTTCGGCTACTAGGTGAATGACTGAATGATGAAGAAAAAAGTAACCTTTTTTTGTCAAATTTCAAATCATAAATTGTAATTATTGATTTAAATTATTATAAATTTAAAAATATGAACGACAAATTAAATATATAACTTTTAAATATAGCTCTCAATTTGCATGTGTCAACTGATATTTGTAAATTATTTTTTTAGAAAAATTTTAAATAATCTAGCAGTCATTAAATTGCTATTAAAGATTTAACAGTCATTTGCCCAGGCTCCTTTTTTCAAAGGATAACTAGGCCCAGCTCAAATTGGACCTTTGCCATCCCACAATAAATGCACTTCACCTCTAACCCAAATAATAGAGTTGGGCCACTTTTACTTTAGGTTGTCCCCACAAAGTATTAGAAATGATTGGCCCAATAGAAATCATCGGATCAAATAAAAAGTAAAAAGTTGCCTCAAGTACCTATAGAAAAAATGCCCACATTTACAGTAACTCAAACATAATTGTCTTACATACCTTCTAGGCTTTGTATAGGGCAAAAAAAAAAGGAGGAATGAAATGAAAAATTAGACAAAAGTGTACTAAAAAGGTATTAAAATTTTATATTCAATATGAAAACAAAATTTTTTTTAACTAACCTCTATATTTACAATCAAAGGGAGTATTCTTTTAGAGAGCATTAAAGCTTACACAGACACTATTAGTTGTGTGATAAATAACGGAGGTGGAATATTAATGTGGTAGCACTAGGAATGGCTACCAATTTTTTTTTATTTTTCATTAATTTATTGATAATATGATGAAACTTGTATTTCACTTTTTCTTATTTACTCCTCCGGTCCTTAATATAAGACCCATTTAACTAATTTGATTAGATTAAGGAAGTTAGGTAAATTAGTTAATTATAAGAAATATGACACATTTTTCCTAAAACATCATAATCATCTTTCTTAATACCCCATCTCTCTCTTCTACTTGATTATAGTTGAAGGAGTATCCATAAGGATAATATAGAGAAATTTGATAAATATGAAAAATAAGTCTTATATTTATGACCAAAATCAACTCAATAATTGGGTTTTATATTAAGGAACGGAAGAGTATATATATATACAACGAAACTTGGATTTCTAAATTATGGAATGGATTCAATAGGAGTTAGGTTATTAGTTGCTTTCAGGAATATCAAATACTTGTTATCTGCAACAGAAAGAACAGATACTCCTTAGACTTTGAGTTCCGCGCACCCAGCCCAATTTTTAATTCCCAATTTATGTCACTATCACCCTTTTATATATATATATATATATATATATATATAATCTTTGAATTTTTATAATCGCAAATCGATTTTATATCATATTTGCCATAAAAAAACACATTTTAAGTATTTTTAAATCGCTAATCAATATATCATTGAAATTGACATTGATTAATGATTATATAGCTGTGTGAAACTGAAAGTTATGTATTAAAAAAATGTCATTTTCGGTGCTTTGATAATTTTATCTTACATTAAATGTGTTGTTTGATTAATTTTAAAATCCTGTGTAGTTTGAAGCCAGAAAAAAAAAAGAAAACAAATAAAATCCTTTGTAGTTTCCGGAGGAATTAGTATTTCAAAGAGGCAAATGTGCATTTAATTCTACCAACTACCGTTCGTGTGCATTGAAAGGGAGACATACCGAACCTTTCTCATTTGTCAAAGAGGCTTACGGAACTTCATTCTAACAATTATATCAAATTTATTTTTTTACCAAAATCATTTAAAATACGTTAAATCAATTTAGATTTGAAAACACACATAAATTACACTTAGAAATCTATATTGAGACTAATATTTAGAAATAAAAGAAAGCTAAAAGTTCGTAGCGATATTACTAAATACTCCTAACGGAGCTGAATAACTCAAAAATTATAAATAACTTGATTTATCTCAAATTTCAAGCCATATAAAAAAAATGTATCTGATTTTCTTTAAAATAGTAAAGGAAACACTCTTAAAAATAGTTTTTTCTCTTTGTATTATATGCACGAATAAAGGTTAAGTTGAAGATATATGCGTAGAAATTACATTTAAGGCTACTAGGAAATGAAATTAAAAATGATAGAGTATAAAATCGCTGCTAAACATGATTTTTTTTTTGTGAGAAAAAATGACTAATTAAATCTATCTTCATTATATTAACATGCATAGCAAAATTCACGACAAGTCGTGCTGTTTGCAAATCATGAAGGGTTTGACTTGTGGTGAATTTTATTATCTAATATATGTTAAATTTTAAAAAGATAAATAGGTTATAATTATTACCTTTGTAATGATTCTAATTAGTTTTGCAATGATTTTGACAAGTTAAAATTTGTCAAAATCACCTATTTATTATTTAAAATTTAATAGGTATTTTTTGTCATGTTTATATTTAATTTTGTACGATTATCTTAATAATTGATTTATTTCTAATGAATTTGATATAATTATAAAAATATCAGATTTTATGGCAGTTGTTTTTATAACTCTATCATTAAGTCTCTAACATAATAAATAAATACTAGTAATTCAATAGAAAGTTTACATAGACAACTTTCATGTCAAAAATTAAAATCTAGGAATACAGATGTAAAAATCTTCATGGCTTTTTTAATACAAATTGTATAGTCATGACGTGAAGGATCAAAACTCTGTGTTTTGGAGTTATTTTCTTAACTTCACGCGGATTTTATCCAATAATGTCATGTTTTCATATTTTGAGGTCATTGTAAATCCATAATCAAGGGCACGGATTTCAAAATTTAGCTGAAAGTCAATGAATTGACTATTTATATTATGATTAGCACATTAATAGTCTTACTTGTCGGTGCAAGTGATTAAATAAATTTAAAACACTTATCATTTATTAATTGATTGATTGATGTGAACGGGGAAAAAATATCTGAAAAATGCAAATTACCGTTGGTTGTCTTTTTTTCTTTTTTTTAAGCATATTATGGCCTGTTTGACAGAACGGTAAAAATTTTATATAAACATATTTTAAGTAAGTCGAGACAAGACTCTTTTCATATACTTATCTTGTATTCTATAGATCACTATTGAAAAACAGCTTATAAATTATTTATAAGTTGTTTCAAACAAATCCTATAACTTATCAGTTTAACATTGCTCACACGAGTATCTTTTAATTTTCTCCTCGTCATTTTTCATCCCTTTAATCATCAATCTGGCTACTTTTTCCTTCTTTTTAAGTACAGTCAAGTAATTTTTTTTTAAAAAAATAATTAGTTATTTAGTTTTTATAAATGGTTTTCAAAATCACCCGACACCCATCATTAACGTGGTTGTTGCCTTTTGTAACAAAAAAACACTGTTTTGTAACAAAATATTTTAATTTTTTTTACAACTGCTTGATATTCAGGTATCTGGTTAAAATATTAAATTTTATCCTAGCAGCGATACATTTAATTGGATATAACCCTTTCGATGTAATTTTTTTCCCATAATGATCACTTTTACTTAAAGGGAATCAATTCTTTCTACTCGACTTAACCATGTTTGTAAATTTTATATTTCCATTAATAATATATTGAGTTGAAATTAGGAAAAATGGCAAATAAAAACTCCTCAATATGTGAAATTGCGATTTGAGACCTTCAATTTGAGAAATAGCAAATAAAGACTTGGTCTCATATTACAAATATAAAATCTTGATAAAATGTCTCAAATGTCCCTCAGCCAAATGATATGTTGATTATAGGAAATGACAAGTTCACTTTAACAAATAACAATTTTAATAGATCAAATCACAACTTAGCTGAGGGTATGCCAAATAACAAGTTGATTATAAAAAATGATAAGTTCACTTTAGCAAATGACAACTTCAGTAGATCAAATCACAATTTGACTAAAAGGCATTTCAGACATTTTACTAAGATTTTATATTTGTAATATGAGATGAGGTTTTATTTGTTATTTTCTAAATTGAGAGTCCCAACTCATAATTTCACATATTGAAGGGTTTTTATTTGCAATTTTTTCTTGAAATTATTTATCACTCACCAATAGGTGTTGGTCATGGCCAAATGCAGGGGGCTTCAAGCATTTAAATATGAAGTTTTAAATTTGATTTCGTGTGAATGCAAGAAAATTTTTAAAAAAGTTATCCCTAATTAAAGTTGATGACACTTGCATTTCATATAGTCAAATAACTATATCACCAAAAAAAAAAATCAAAAGAGTGATCCCTGATTTAATCCCTTAAATATGAGTTTGTTTGAATGCCAAAAAAACAAAAACAAAACTCTAATTAAGCTTGATAATAGGCTCGATAATGTTTGAGTCCCGTTTAAACACATAGGTATATTGAAAAAAAAATTATTTATCCCTCCTTGTCAAGGCTAGACCTACCACCTAATGACGTGGGAGTTATAAAACTGTGGCGTTTATAGTGTCAAAGTTTTAATAAAGATGGGTTATAGTGTGAAACAGCATAGAATAATATAACATGGAAGCGTGACCTTTAAAAAGGAGTCAGGGGATCCATATGGTGAGGTCACGCAGATTTAGTTTTCAACCCATAGCAATTGTCTCCTCCCATTTACTTAATCCAAAATGAAAGTGACAGTCATTATCATATTAATCAATGATTAATCATGCCCATTTAACAATACCAACTCTGTTTTCTCCAACCTACTTAGCTTTTTTTTTGTGTGTGGCCTTTTTTGCTTCATGGTCCTGTGAATGTGATTGAAAACAAAGCAAATGTTATGAATATTGATTGGAAGTTTGCCCTCCGATTCTATGAATAAGCTTCAAATTTAAAGATGATATGGTCTATTTT